TATGCAAAGAAAAATACAATTACCCACAACATAAAACAGACAACTTCTTTTATTTTTTCGGCCGACACTTACATCGGGCACATCGTTAATACCCTCCTTAATCTCGTTATGATTTTCATCGTCTGCCTTGTTGCCTTTAGATCTGCAACAAAAATCCAAAATGTAAATTGACTTTTCTTACAACCCAAGCTCAAATTCCAACATGATCAGAAAGAAAAACGGTCATCGAATGTATCCAAAACCTAAATATCCTCGCAGAAAAAAACCTTAAGAATCCACATCCAATAAATATGCCCTAATGATGTAATGACCTTAAAAAATAAACAAATTACTCCAAGAAATCTACTTTCACCATATCAATCCACTCAAAAAGGTAGCCAGCGTAAAATGATGAAACTTCAACAGCAAATCGACTTGCCCTAGTGATGTAATGACCTTCAAAAATGAAAAAATTACTCCAAGAATTCTACTTTCACCATATCAATCCACTCAAAAATGAAGCCAACGTAAAATGATAACTTCAACAGCAAACCGAGTTGCCAGATTTATGGAATCAAATAATTAAAAATGTAGAACAAGTGCATCATATCAGAAAACAAAAATTCAACCATATATTAGGGAAAAAAAAATAGAAAAATCAAGAAAACATATCTAATAAATTACAAACAAAACCTAATTAACATATGAATAAAAAATGAAGATAGTGAAATGTACCGGGGATGAGCAACGGCGCCGGGGAAGAGCAGCAGCCTGAGCAGCGGAAATGGGAATAGCAACAGATTGTGAATCGCCGGAATGAGAAGACCGCCCCTCGACGGACAGGGACTCGTCGGAAGAGATGAGCAACAGTCGGTGAGCGAAAATTTTTGCAGCGCTCACCGTAATAAGAGGGGGGAAATGAGGAGAGAATAAAAAGGGGAAAATAAGGAGAGAATCCAATGGGGAGAGAATGAAATTTTGCAGGGAACGGCGGGCCAAAGAAATGAGGAAAAATGGAAAGGGGAAAAAATGAAAAAGGTGACCTAAGGGTAATCATGTACTTTTGCCTACTAAAATGGCTAGATTTCATCTTTTTCATAAAGATGGCTATATTTCATTTTTACTTTCACTTAAGTGCTATAAAGCACCATTACCACTTACTAAATATAGTAGTTAGAAAAGTCAAACTTAATTAATGAATATCTAATTTTATCAAATATATAATTAATGCATCTAATATTTTGGGTATGAAAATCAAATTAGCATTTAATTAGTTCCTAAAATATTGGGTATGCAATATTAATTTAGGAATATCCATGTAGTTCCTAAAAAAAATATTGCAACACGTAAAACTATTCTAATTATTTTTTATTTTATTTTACATATAAAATCTAATCAATATTTAATGCATCCTACAAAATTGGATTTAGTTTAATTCTCCATTCAATTAGCTGTAATTTTTTCAGTTGCAATTTTTTATTTATTTATTTTACACTTTTAAATTAATGAAGCTCTCCAAAAATACCAAATCAAATGATTTATGATTTTTTTTTACAATTTTAAATCTATATACCCAGCTCAAAAAAACTCATTGCATAAATATGGACGAGTTTAAGAAAATTTCATAACGCATCTTACATAATTCCATCTTCACGGGTCAAAAGAATCACATCCCTCATATATTGTAATAACTTTAAGGATAAATAAATAAAAGTCTAATTACTACTATAAATCCATTATCTATTTAGATTTTTTTTAAAAATCTAAATTTCACCTGTCAAATTACTAATATTTTAGATACTTTTAAATATTATTTGTATAAATTTTTTTTACACATTTGCTCTCTCTATATATATACATATATGGAGGTTAAATGAAGAATTTTTAGACATGTTTTTCTTACGGGTAGTTTAGAAAAATTTAGGTAGCATCAAACATTATTTGTGAATAATATAGAATATTTTAGATGTTTTTATAGATGTATGAAATATTTTAAGTATTTTTAATATTTATATATCACACTTAGAAAGAATATTTTGCAAGAAAAAAAAAATAAATACACATTGTAAATGTTAATAGAAACAGTCTTCAGTGTTCGTCTTTGATCTCAGTTACATATAAAATTTCTTTTTATTTGTCACATAATTTTTGGTGTGCATTAATTACGATTTGTATTTGTAAAATTGATAGCTTTTGCATTGATTTCAATTTGTATTTGTAAAATTGATAAATTGTTAAGCGTACAAATTCCTTTTTATGGTAACAACTTAAAAATGATAGTTTGAAATATTGTGTAGTCAAATCTTCATATGAAAGTAACATCATAATTATGGTATCTTATAAATCTTCTCTAAATCAACTCGTGAGATAATGTCTTTATTTAGGCTTATAATATTTTAGATACTTAAACAAAATGTTCAGACATATTTTTTTACATATTTTATCTATATGTACATATATATATACTCACATTTACGTAACACATGTTAAGTTTTAATT